TGTGATAAAGAGCAAAGCAACTTCTGTTTTGGCAAGAGGCACAGGAAAAGAGATGACAGGCCGGAGGCATGAATTTGATAAATTTACCTTAAATGTGCAGCCATTTTAAGAAAGTTTTGTACTCCTCTCCCTGTCCTAATCTCAGTTCTGTCTAAACTATATGACAACAAATCATATTTAGAAAATAGGGAGATGTTCGGTGTAAATTGAGAGGAATGACAAACAATAAAGATGTTAAAAAGATAAAGATTAACTCCTTAAACCCTGAAGGCATTTTTAGAGTTGACATGCACAAGTAAAGACTTATAACTCCAAACCTATAAAAAGGAGAGTCAAAAGTTTGGTATTGTTTGATAGAAAATGGTTTACAATTTTACAAAAAATTTTTTTTCCAAAATTGACTAATTTTAATCGTGAGAATCTGCTTTAAATAACAATCAGAGCATGTTTCATAAAGTTACGAGCGAAAACGTGACATAAATGCTGCATCCGTATATTATTTACACATGGGTCTTGCAGGGCTTCATGTACAAAAACTCACTCAAGTCGAAACCCAAAACAATTATGCTTGTATTCTTCTCTGTGAGACCTTTCAAATATAACGCACGACTATCTGAACTGTATGAGTTTTTTTTATATATATACAGGGATTAAAGTTCTCCGTCGCTACGACGGATTTCCGTTAATTGCAGCGAGTCTATGACGGATATCCGTCAATTGCAGGGTTCCCGTCTGTCCTTATGTCTTAAATTAACTTTTCATAATTTTAAGGCCGTAAATAGGCTTTCATTTCGCAAACAGTGTGATAAATGTCTTAATTTTAGTTTGAATAGGTCTTAAATTAAGGAAAGATGATGCGTATTCACCCTGCTGAGGGGGGATGTGATAAAGCCTGGAGTGGAGCAAAAGCACGTTCCTCTCTCCACTCTAAGCATTCTGTAATCACTTTGCTCATGGTCCACTCCGGTTTTTCAATTCCCGCTCACGGAAAAACTGCTCCCTGGACCCTGTTCACTCAATCTTGTCAGGCGAGGCTACAGCTCGTTTGCTGCGGTCCCATGATAGAAAACAGAACGCGGGTCAATATTGGTCGTTTCTCAATACCAAGTACGCAAACTTCGGACTTGCGTCCTTGGTAGTTCGGACTTGCCAAGTTCGACTCAGGAGAACAAACTCCCGAGGACGAGAGGACGCTGCTAACAGCGCGTTCTTGATCGCGTCACTCAGCACGCGGCTACTCCGGTTATCAACTCTGCCTTTTTTCATCAACACCACTGTGCCTCTTTTCTTTTATAAATGAACATAATTATTATCATAAACATATAAATGGCCACACAAATGTGGTTCAGGCAACGCACATTGATTTATCATATAGTTATAACAACACGAAATATAGCTAAAACACAAACCTGCTTCTTTTTGTTTTCATTTTAAAAATATGAAACATTATTTATCATTAAAACTGACATTTAACAAACAGACAGGGTTGTATCGTTTTATTGTATTATGCGTACACATACAGTGAAGAGAATGCATAGTAATATAATATTTTATATATTTTAGAATATATAAAATTACACAACCATGTCTCTTTTTTGTTAAATGTCAGTTTTAATGCTAATATCCCGTTCAAAAGTAGTAGCCTAATAGGTAGGCTATAATAAGCTATACAATGAGAAATAAAGCAAACAATTCAATTAAACATAAGTCAGCTCTGTAATAGGCTACAAAGTTAAAGTTAAATATAGCCTACATAATAAAGTTATAAAACTTCACTTTGCCCTCAGCCAAAACAATTTGCATTGTTTGGTCTCATAAGATAAATAAAAACATGCACTGAAAAGTTATGTAGATGGTTGATTATTTGTCAAGATAAGTAATTGTTTTTCATAGATTAAAATAGCTTTTAAATTACTCAATATTAGATCGGTTTTAAACATCTTCCCTTAAAACGCTATTGGTCTCGACTATTTAAATAAAGTTACAGGAATATGACTTGGCCTGAAAAAAATTTCAGTCAGAAGAATTTTTTTCACTTTAATCCCTGTATATATATATATATCAGCAAATAACTCTTAGGAGTTAATCAAATTAGCTACATGCATTGTAAAGTTCAGACTCTTGAGCTTTCAAATCTCTGCATTCATGTCAAACTTTTTATACAATTTTCTATTTATTTGTTTATAAAAACTTTAGAGTTTTTTTACTTGGATTTTTGAGTATAATGATTAAGGTGTATACAGTCACATGTATTCAAGGTGCTTGGAAAATGTTATTCGTCGTTTTCATTACACCCTGAATACATGTGACTGTACTTAAATCTTGAATCTTTTAAATACAGTTATTAATTCATAAATATGTTTTTGGGGAGGCACACCACAGGGCATTTTTGAAACCTGAACTTGCCTTGTCATAAAAAGTATTTGATATTAAGAGACTCTCTGGGGTCAAGGGTCTCTCTATAATATAATTTCCTGTTTTTCCTCCCTATGCATCTGCACAATGGTCACACTACATGACTGATTTGGCAAAACATTTTTTTAATACTTATATCATTTGAACAAAACTATTTCGCATTTCTTTTCCCTAATAATGATAGTTATGCCAAACTAGCTACAACAAAGTAATTATTGCTTCTTTCCCCCCCTGCATCATGATATTATAATCGTTACTACTTTGCTGAAGTAACAGAAAATGTCAGAATTTGAAAGCTTTCTTCAGATGGTATAGCTTCATGTAAACTTTTCTAATTCTGAACTAGGATTTTGAAATGTTGTTTTGTTATTGATTTGCCTTCAATAATACTTCATAAAGTTCATTGTTCAGTCTGTGAGGATTCAGGAAGTCGTGAGCTCCCGTAATAACCCGCAGATTTGCATTTGTCCAGAAAGCGAGCCTGCAGCAGTGTGAACCGGGGAGGAACGGCCTCAGCTGTTCAGACAGGCACCAGTGAAGTGTGAAGTTGTTATTTTTGGCTCCATTCCTTGTGCTCACCTCCACTTGTGTTTTGATGCTCTTTTAAAGTGGCTCCTGCGAGCCGGATATATAAGGGGTCTTGGCCCCGAACAGCTGCAATAACCATTCTTTCTGCCGGTCACTCCTCAGGACTGATGACGGCACCCGGTGCAGATTTCATGCACCTCTGATTGTAATCTGCCACTCAAGACCTCTCCATGCGAGGCTCTTGATTAGAGAGCAGTCATTAGAGCAGAGAACGATACCCTACGCCTGAGCACTTGTGTGTCGGCATTTATGGCGCTCTACTGGATATCTTACGTCCTGCTTGGACAGATCGCCGTTACATTAACCCTTTTGGAGCATAGCTGTAAGAGCATGTTGGTGCTCTTGCCTCTTTGCCAGTATGACAGACTGCAAGATATGACTTGGAGGAACCAGTTGGCACTGATCCAGAGCTGCCACAGTGTCATTGCCAATCCCTCAGTGGCTTCAATCCAACTGCTCGGATTCAGCACTTTTCCCCTCCCGCTAGATAATGTATCTTTTTGGAAGTAAAATGCACATCTCAGCATTGATATTGATGTGGATTTTACTCCATTTGCGAGAGTTCGTGTTCCCGTTTTCTCCCGTCAGGGGCAACAATGCGTACTGTAGCTCATGCATGAAAGCTCAATTTAAAGAGTTTTTGCAGGCTGAGAGTTCCCTGACTGCACCGGTAGGAACCGGATAAATTGACCTGTGGTTGCCGGAGCTGTGGAGCATCAAAACAGGGCAAATTCTGCTTGAATTATTCATATAAGATATCTTGCAGCACGCTGACTTGCTTTTAAGGGCAGTAACTGGATTTAGATACTCCAAATGATCTCTTGATGCAGCTTCTGCAAGCTATTGAACAGTAGTGACTCAACCATTGCTGTCTTTATTGCTGTTGGTTAATCTTCTTATAGAGTAGTATGGTTATTTAAAGGGATATGAAAATTGTCAACATTTAATCACCCTGATGTCGTTCCAAACCTGTATGGCCTTCTTTATTCTGTGGAACATTAAAGAAGTTAATTTTAATAATGTTAGTAACCAAAGCGTTTTGTAGTAACCAAAAACTAATTTCTCAACCGCTAAAAAAAAGGATCTTCTTCCACAGTTCCATAAAACTTCCACAGATGTTTGGACTGATGTGTGGATGAGTAAATGATGACACTTTTCATTTTTGGGTAAACTACCCTTTTAACTCCAGATTAACATGCTTTCTGCCCCACTTTTTTAATATTTTATATGTGTAACGGGACACGTATTGTTACCCAAAACGGTAAAAAATGTAGCTAAACGGTACACGTATTGTTACCCATTTGATTGTAGTTTTGTGTTACTTTTTTATTTGACTGCGGTAGACAGTTGCATAGATCTTGACTAAAAGAAAAAATCTCATTGTAAACCTTGAAATTTATTTTCTTTTTTCGTCCAGTTTTATTCAACCCAGTATTAAAAAACAAATGCCAATTAAATCTGACTTCTGTGCTTGTATATTAAATGAATGGCACGCAATAGAAGGGGAGTGCAATAATTCTGACTAAAATATGTCTTTTTTAAAAACTATCCAAAAGTGGAAAAAATTCAAATCTCTTCCCCCATTTACAAAAGATTTTTTTAAAAAGATTTTCAAATCATAAACTGGGTGTGTTGCAGCCGGTTGCAGTAGTACAGACTTTTTTGTTTAAAAACAGAGCCATAGTTTGTTCAGTAATCCACTGCTTAATAAAAAAAAGGAAAAAAAGCCATTTAATTTTTTCCCCCCTGCTTTACTGAAAACTGATCCATTACTTCAAAACCAAGGTACATACTGGACCGTAATCTTTGTGTACCGTTACACCCCATTTAATACATTTTAAATCCATCCAGCTACTTTAATTGAATGAATCTAAGAAAGGACTGTTTTTCCACAGAAAACCTGGGTGGTACACTGTCTGAAGCCCACCAGCGTGTCCCTTAGATTCTCCCCTACTGTTATTGCTTTGTTAATCGATGTGCTCTGATTCGTTTCGCAGGAATGCCTGCAGCGTCTCGGAAGACTCACCTGCAGATCCCGAGCTCAGGCGAGCAGAGCCACTTTTGATGAGATTCTGGGAGGACCACACTGTCAAACAGGGGTAGGAACGGAGCCGGTCAGGGTTTATTGCTTTACCAGTTGGAACGTTGTTGTGTGGCATTGCTGTTTCTTGTAGTGTGCTTGCACCAGGTGTATGTCTGTCAAAGTACAGAACACTGAGTAAACAGAATTTACAAAGTCCTTAAATGGTCACATTGTTGCCGTAGTCACATATAGTCATAGCATTTACTTCTGACATGATAGTGTGTGTTAATATACTCTCCTAAATAGTCTGAAACTGCCTAATAGAGTCCTGCAGCGATGACATATTTTTGAAAGCCAAAACCTGGAAACAAGCATTTTAGCACTTGTGGCTCCGTCTTTACCGTGGACATTAAACATCATCTCACCGAACATTGTGCTCTTACAAACTAAACTAATTTAAATTTTCATGGAAAATGTCACAGAGCTTATTTTATGCAATAATCCAAATGCCAATGGAAAAAAATCCTATTGGGTTTTTGACATGGGAACAATGGTGATGCTAACTTCCAGGTTGACCTACAAAAATACATCATTGCAGCACTCCATTGACAGCTTTGGCTGTCATTACTTACTCCAACCTCATGTCGTTTCAAACATGACTTCCTTTCTACTGCGGAACAAAAAAGTAGATATTTTGAAGAATGTTTCAACTTTTTTGTCCATACAATAAAAGTCAATGTGGTCTAAAACAACATCAACATCTGAATCGAGTTGGTCCTCCTTATACTGTAGAAAGACTTTATAATCGTAGTAGCGCCTGGTCATCCTTAGTTTGCAGGTCTGATTTCTTGGCCCCTCTCTATTGTTCTATTATTAAAAAGTGGCAAAAGCCCCAAAAAATCCTCATTCTGTCTACAATTTGTTAACACCTGAGTAGGCCTTTAGAGTCTGTAGAGCCCGGTATCAAATCTACATTGTTGGAATTGGGATTCGTCACCATGTATAAAGCGTTTCCCTTCTGGTTTCAGAGACAGAAAGGCACATGAGTCACACTGATGGCAGGTACCAGTGTTTCTGATCCGCCAAAGATCTAGAGCTTGACTGTATCTCTCACACGGTTCACATTCCTGCCCGTGGGAATGCATGAAAAATGAAACCTTGGATTCCTTAACAAATTGAAATTCTGCCAGTCTGTTGTTTCGCTGTGAGCTGTATTTGATCATTTAAAATGCCTCAAATAGTCACTACTAAATATTGTCAGATGTGTATTATGTTGTAATTCGCATTCATGTCATATACAGCCGAGTACAGGCCTGATAATGGTGTGATGCTCACAGGCATCATTGATCTTTACATCAACCCCTCTTTTTGTTTTTCACCTTATGGAAGTGAAGGTGAAAAGATGAATTATAAACTTTCATAAATAATTGAGAGCCATCGGCAGAAGTAAATTATTAATAGGTGAAAAAGGCATCTCTCTTGATGCGTAGAGATGGGCTAACATGAGCGCAGACATGTTATTTCCTTTCTATAAGGAAAAGCGTGATTATTTGTGATTATCTGGAGTATTTGTGATTTTTGTGCTCTTTTATAATGTTTAAAATTATGATCCGAAATCTGATATTCCATCTCCAAAAGAAAATGAAACTGTGCTAAATGCATTAAATAGCATTACGCATACGTACAGAGATGTGTTTCATTCACTTCCAATTCCATTCAGGAGATGCATGAACCGTTTTAAAAGAGGTTTCCTGGACACGGCCCTTCCTTACATTGGAGGAACAGCCAGATAGTCCCGCCCCCAAAGTAACGCCATTGGTTCAGCCAATGTTGAGTCAGAGTGTGTACACTTTTCAGGGGAATCAGCCTAAAAATGTCTTACTACTCATCAAACTCAAACACAAAAGTATTTTACAAAAAAATATTACACAGTTTAGCTTTAAAAACATTAGTCCGGTCTGCACAGTGCATTTAATCGTTTCCAATTGCCACTGTCCAGTGGGTTGTGAGAATGTTGGTGTTTGCTGTGCGGTTTTGTTGTCAAGTCAAGTCACCTTTATTTATATAGCGCTTTTTACAATATAGATTGTATCAAAGCGCTTCACAGTGATAACATGAAAACAATATAACAAAGTTTGTTTCTAAAAGAAATTGCGTCAACGTCCACCTTAAGTAAGGCAGATCAATAATATTATTGAATATTAAAAGTCCCCAACTAAGCAAGCCAAAAGCCAAGGCAACAGTGGCAAGGAACCAAAACTCCATCAGGTGACAGAATGGAGAAAAAAACCTTGGGAGAAACCAGACTCAGTCGGGGGGGCCAGTTCTCCTCTGGCCAACGAAGGAACAGTGCATGATTCGGGCAGCATTACAAGTCAGATTGTTTTGGAAGTCCAAGTATGCACGCCGGTCTTAAGACGAGTTGTTGAGGATCAGTGCCGTCCACCATAGAGAGTCCATATCGCCCGTGTTGAGTCGTCACTTCATAGGCTTTGTGATTGGAGCATCTGAAGTCTCCGTGAGAGGCTGGATACAAACTGGAGCTGACGAACGCCATTTTCTCGGGACTCGCGTCCCGAGATAACAGCAGAAAAGCAAAGGGAAAATAATTAGCGTAGCTGCTGTTCATAATGATGATTTCCATAACACAGGCGTAAATGACAAAACATGAAGACAGTGACTCTTGCGTCCCAAAATCACCCCCCTCCGTCCCCCACTCAACTCAGCCCAGCTTACTGACCTCTACGTCCCTCCTGCTGCTGAGACCTAACCACAATCTCACAATCTCTCCGCAACCCAACCATACGCGCCAACCCGTTGACTAAGGCTGTCGAGCCCCACTGGTGCGTGAATAGGCAGTTTCAGTGGACAACGGTTCCGTATGGCATACTACCTACCGCAACACAATATCTGCCCAACTACCCGTCATTCACGCAATATACACAGGAACGTAATGACTGCAAATACTATGCAACCTATACAGATAACCTACAGTCTCTTCAAGTTTTATAGTATTAAATGCATTTGATCTGATTCAGCAGTATTATAAAAGGTAAGCATTATGTAAATGCTTGGCTAAAGAGATGCGTCTTTAATCTAGTTTTAAACTGGGACAGCGAGTTAGAGCCTCGAACAATATCAGAAAGGCTATTCCAGAGTTTAGGAGCTAAATGTGAGAACGCCCTCCCTCCTTTAGTGGACTTAGATATCCTAGGAATGACTAGAAGCCTCGAATTTAGTGATCTTAAAGAACGCGATGGATTGTAGGGCGATAGAAGGTCCATTAAATACACAGGAGCTAAACCATTTAGGGCTTTATAGGTCAGTAATAGTACTTTGTAATTGATACGGAACTTGATAGGTAACCAGTGTAGAGATGATAAAATTGGTGTTATATGATCATATTTTCTTGACCTAGTAAGAACTCTAGCGGCTGCATTTTGCACTAACTGTAGCTTGTTTATTGAGGATGCAGGACAACCGGCTAATAAAGCATTACAGTAATCTAGTCTCGAGGTCATGAATGCATGAACTAACTTTTCTGCATCGGAAACAGATAGCATGTTACGTAATTTAGCAATGTTTCTAAGATGGAAAAAGGCTGTTCTTGTAACATATGAAATATGATTTTCGAAAGACAAGTTGTGGTCTAGTATAACTCCCAGGTCTTTTACCGTAGAGGATAAAGTAACAGGACATCCTTCTATATTAAAGTTGTATTGTAAGTGGTTTTGTGGATAGTTTTTTGGACCAACAAGTAATACCTCCGTTTTATCTGGATTTAGTAGCAGGAAATTATGCGTCATCCAGCATTTTATATCTTTAAGACACTGTCAATTTTGATGAGTTAGTGTTTTCATCTGGCCGTGATGAAATATATAATTGAGTGTCATCAGCATAACAGTGGAAATTAATTCCATGTTTTCTTATAATATTACCAAGTGGCAGCATATATATTGAGAATAGCAGAGGGCCTAACACCGATCCTTGCGGCACTCCATAGTCTACTGACGTTATCTTCGATTTTTCCCCATTTAAACAAACAAAATGGTAACGGTCTGATAAATACGATCTGAACCAGCTTAATGCCTGTCCCTGAACACCAGTGTAGATTTGTAGTCGATCCAAGAGTATTTTATGATCGATAGTGTCAAACGCAGCACTAAGATCGAGTAGATCTGAAGTAGATCGAAAATCATTTGTAATTTTAACTAGCGCAGTTTCTGTGATATGATGCGGTCTGAATCCTGACTGAAATTTTTCATATATCTCATTTTCTTGCAGGAAAGAGCACAATTGAGCGGACACTTTTGTTGTGTAACACAACTTTGTCCCTGTTTTGGGTATTTGGCTTCCTAAATGGCTTTATAATTAAATAAAACAGGCTCTGCAATGGACTGGAATAGGCAATCTGACATGTATTATAGTGATATATACTGTATGTCAACATTTCATAAGAAACTACATCACATAAAATCAATAGATGTTAACACTTGCATGCCATCGGTGGCACAGGTGCACTTCCTCCATAGCCGCATTTCCACTGTCGGGCCAGTGTGAGCCGGGGCTTTGAACGGGCCTGGCTGGGCTAATATCCTTGGACCTGTAGCACCGAGCCCACCGAGCCCAAAGCACCGAGGCCCAATCAAGCCCCTGGAGTGACTGTGGACACACGACTTGCCCTGGCACGCACTAGCATGCCCACTTTTGGCCCAACTGGAAACGCGGCCCATGATTAATTTATTCTCATGTTTACTAACCTTTCACATCAGACCTATCTTATCTAGCATAAGAAGATAGTTGAATATGAATGTTGAAATACAGGTAAAATAAACAGATTTCACACTTAGAACCACATTTGAAAGTGAAATCAAATTAGAATAGCTGTTTACACGCATGCATCAAGATCTTAGGCTGCGTTTCCAAAAAGCATCGTAAGCCTAAGACCATAGAAACAATTGGCAACAAAGGTCTCTGATCTACTTACAGGCCTACAATGCCTTTGGGAAATGCAGCCCTAGTCTGTGCCAGTTACCAAGTAGTGGCTTGACTTTGACTCGTTGTGAAATGACTCTG